GTCTTCATGTTTCCCTTATCATTTCCCCTAACACAACCACAACTTACTAACTGCTTATTCTTAAGGTTTATTTATTTATTTTTATGTGTATGTTTTACCTGCATGCAAATGCACCACATGCATGCAATGCCTGCAGAGGCCAGAAAAGGGTGTCAGATGCCCTGGAACTGGAGTTATGGTCAGATGTTAACTGTCATGTGGGTGCTGGGAACGGAACTCGGGTTCCTCTCCAGCCCCTAGTTTCCAGGGTTTTTTTTAATGGAAATATTTTTTATTTTTGTCTTTTTGAAGCAGGGTCTCCCTGTAGCCCCAGCTGTCCTGGAACTCACTATGTAGACCAGGCTGGCCTCGAACTCACAGAGATGTGCCTGCCTGCCTCTGCCTCCCAAGTGCTGGGACTACAGGCGTGTGCCACTACACCCGGCTGGAAATATTTTTTTTATATTTTATTTATTATTTTTATTTCATGTGTATGCATGTATTGCCTGCATGTAGGTAAGTGCACCTGTGTCTTGGTGTCATGCAATGCCCTCAGAGGACAGAAGAGGCCTTCGGATCCCCTAGAACTGGAGCTACGGACAGTTGTTAGCTGCCATGTGGGTGCTGGGATTTGAACCTGGGTCTTCTGCAAGAAGCCAATGTTCTCAACCACTGAGCCATCTCTCCAGCCCCTAGTTTCCTGCTTTTAATGGAAACTTACTACAGGTGCATTAGAAAAACTTAAGGAAAAATTGTCATAAGGTGGGGGCAAGGGTAGAGATAATTTCAATTCATTAGAAATGTTAATGTTTAAGCAGCTGCCACCATCTAGGCTGGAATAACTTCCTACCAGCCTATCAACTCTACAAGATGGATAAACTTCCCTTCTCTTCACCGTTGACAGGCTATAAAAAGCTCAGAGTTTACTTTCAGTTTCTCCCTCAACTCTATCGTGAACATCAAAAAGACTATAGTCAAAGGACAGTTTATGTTTTAAATAAAGAACATTTCAGGGCTGGAAGGATGGCTCAGAGGTTAAGAACACTGGCTGTTCTTGCAGAAGACCCCGGTTCATATCCCAGCACCCACATGGCAACTGACAACTGTCCATAACTCCAGTTCCAGGGGATCCAACAGCCTCTTCTGTCCTCTGTGGGCATTGCACGACACAGGTGCACTTACCTACATTCAGGCAATATGCACATACACATAAAATAAAAATAATGAAGTATTTTTTTTAAAAAGAACATTTCTAAACCTCCAGTTGTGCAGAAAGTTAATTCTGACCTTGAAATTGAATGACTAATTAGTTCATTGTAACAGACCTTGGGCAAAATTCACACGTTTGGCAAGGGGCTGATGTAAGAGGCTCATGAGACAGTGACTGTCAGTTCCAGTTCATTCTTCTGTCATAATTTCTCCTCACAGGGAAAGTGATGATTGTAATGGGCAACAATTTTGAAATCACTTTACAAACAGCTGTGCTCACCAGTGGAACATGATACATGATTGCTGTGATCTGGAAGACAGTATGGCCCCCTGACCACACCTGTTCATGGATTTTCCATTTTCTCTCTTTTTGGGTATTTTGTTTTGTTTGAGATGGGGTCTTATGTAGCTCAGAACTCACTGTCTAGCTGAGGATGATCTTGAACTCCTGATCCAACCCAGTGCTTTGGGGACATTTTTGACAGAGAGGCAATACAGTGTAGGACTGGAAGCTTCACTGACAAATCCCTAGAGCCTATACTAAAAAGATTAGCTGTTTTATCATTCACCACCCATCACCAAGTTTCCATTTCTTGGTTTCCATATACTTGGCACACAGTTTTATATCATGGTTTTCAATGGATTTGTAAAAATAAGTGTGTTGTAGGTCGAATTACTTCCTTTACAAAAGTCCTAATCTACAAGTACCTCTAGGGTGACAATATTTGGAAACAGGGTCATTGTAGATGCTGTTAAGATGGGACAATGAGGGTGGTCCTTGTTCAATTTAACTGATGTTTTATCTAAGAAGAGGGTATTGGGTGTGTGGAAGAGGAGGCCCCTGAAGACACAAGCACCAATCTACGAGCTAAAAGGAAAGGGTCAGAATGAAACCAACATCTTCAGTCCCAGGCTTTTGGGTTTTAGACTCTGCAGCTGGGAGGAAATAAATTTATGTTGTGTAAATTACCCAGTCTGTGGTAATTTGTTATGGCAGTCTAAGAAAACTAATACGGTGATCTAAGATCAATAAACCAAAAGTCTGGTGATTTGATCAGTCAAACTGGTAAGTTATATAAACACTGATTCTTAAATGTTTTTTTAAAAAGCCAGAGAGCAGGCTGGGGCCATAGCTCTGTTGTTGTTCCTAAGTGCTTGCCTATATGCACAAAGCCCTGGGTTCCATCCCTAGTGCCTCATAAACTGGGCATGGCGGCATAGGTTTGTAATCTTAGCACTCAGAAAGTAGAGGATCAGTTCAAGGTGATGCAGGTGAGACAGCGCAGAATGTAAAGGCACTTGCCTTCAAGGCTGACAATTTGAGTTCCATCCTTGAGGCCTGTATGCTGAAAGAAGAGAACTGACTCCCAGAAGTTGTCTCTGACCTCCATATACCCACTGTGACATGTACACACACACACACACACACACACACACAGAGTAAATAAATATTTTTTAAAGAAGTTCAAGGTTATCCTAGGCTATATAATGAGTTCAAGACCAGATTGGAACAAGAAAGCAGGAAATGTTACTGAACCCCCAAAGCTTCCTGGGTCACTACCACATGGCCAGGTACCTATTTCCCTCCGAGCTCAGATGTGAGCTAAGCCCTTGAGTCAAGAGCCCTTTCAGAAACACCCTAAATTTTCGGTTTATTCATTATCTCCACTTTGGTTTCCCTTTCCTACCAAGAGCTAAATGGAGAAGTTGGCCACATAAATGCCAGCATTGCACACAATCTACTCGCAGTTTTGTTTTTTCTTCGTTTACTTCTAGTGCCTAAACATATAAGGTTTTGTTTTCATTCTAGTCTGACCAATCTAGTCAATGCAGAATGTGACATTACTGGGAACTTTTGCAACCACAAAGATGGACACACATGTCACCCAGCCCCAACTGGCCACCCAAGTTCTGCAACGAATGTGGAATTCACTGCTGTTAATCTTGTCAGAGCATACGGTTATTAAGGACTCTTTAGAACAAGCCAAAGGTTTTTCCCTAGAAGATTTGAGTAGAGCTGTTCTCTATGTTAAACAAGGGACTGGAGATCTAGCTCCGTGGTAAAACACTTGCTCAGCATGCTTGAGGCCCTGGGTTCAGTCTTCAGCACCACAAATAATAAATAGAAGCAATCTTAAGCAATGTTACTTCCATTTTTTTCCTCAATGTTATCACAGCTAGACAAAAGTTAGTTTTTTAAATTTCCAACACATAAGGACTTTCTGAGATTAACTGTAAGATTTCATTTCAACTGAAAGTAAAAACATGACGGTTAGAAGTCACTTTGAAGAAATGAACCCAGGACCTATGCGTCACTGTGACTCAACATTCCCTTTACCATTTAGGGGAACTTAATGTTTTCTTAGCCATAAGTTCTGCTACCCTATTTATCAGGCCATGACCTTCTTCTGCTTTATTTAGAGATCCTTATGTTTCAAAGGAGAAGAAATTATATTTTTCTTACCAACTTATCATTTTCGTTTTCTTAGTCATTAAAGGTTTTAGGTTGATTCCGTGTGACTAAACATCCCTAAATGATAGAGAAATCTAAGAAGGTATTTCCAAATTTGCTGTTTCTCTGAGCAACAGCACAAATACTAACATTCTTTGGACCGTCTTTAAACATCTTTCTTTGGGTTTGCGTTAACTTTGTCTAGCCATAATTGAATTTTCAGTAAGAACCAAGCTTTAAAAACAAAAAAAGAAGCCAGGCATGGTGGTACACGCCTTTAATCCCAGCACTTGGGAGGCAGAGGCAGGCGCATCTTTGTGAGTTCAAGGCCAGCCTGGTCTACATAGTGCGTTCCAGGACAGCTGGGGCTACAGAGAGACCCTGTCTCAAAAAGACAAAATAAATAAAAGATGAGAGAGAGAGAGAGAGAGAGAGAGAAAGAAAGAAAGAAAGAAAGAAAGAAAGAAAGAAAGAAAAGGAGCAGAAGCAGGTGGATTTCTGTGAGATGGAGGCCAGCCTGGTCGACATAGTAAGTTTCAGGTCAGTTGGGGCTACAGGGAGACCCTGTCTCAGAAAGACAAAAAAGAAAGAAAAAAGAAAACTGAAAAAAAAAATCCCCTCAAACATAGTCAAATTTGCCCCAATTTAAAAATAACATTACTGCCCTTAATCCCAACAATTGGGAGGCAGAGGCAGGTGGATGGCTAAAAGATGGAGGACAGCCTGGTCTACGTAGTTAGTTCCAGGACAGCTGGGGCTATAGGGAAACCTTGCCTCAAAAAATAGCATTGCTCAGTGTTAAAATAACATGGTCATCACAAGGCATTTAAACTTGGAACATGGTAACATATGCCTGTAATCCCAGCACTTGGGAAGTAGAGGTTGGGAAATCAGGAATTCAAGGTCAACCTCATCTATATAGCAAGTTGGGGCCAGCCTAGGCTACATGAGACCCTGTCTCAAAACAAAACAAACTTGGGATTCATTTAGACAACTCAGGGGTAGGAAGATAGTCTAGAATATTCCAAGATGCCATCATCTCCATGAATTAGACACATGGGTAATTTTCTATTTCTTGAGGTTTTTAATGGATAAACCATACATCTTCATCCAAGAATAAAATAGTACATTTCAATTATTCTAAGAATTATATGAGACTGCCACTTGCTTTAGCATTTAATTAATTTCTTATTCTTATTCTTATTTTGGTACCAAACAAGTGAACTCACACTAGGGAGTTCAGATCCTCCACATTTGTCTTTGCTGCCTACCCTACAACCCAAAAATGAAGACAGTCATTGGTGTGGACACTAAGGCTTTCAAAGAAGAGGGCAGGGGAATAAGATCACCGGGGTCTTACCTTGAACTGAAGATCCCATAACCAGAATGAAGGTCAGAGCTAGGACAAGCCTGCTGCTCTGGGGTACCTGCTGCATCTTGACCAGCTCACTCCTGCACACCAGCCTCTCAATTAGGAAATGCAGCAGAGTGCTCTCTGTCCCTTTTAGCAAAAGGTCCCAAAGCCTCAGACCCTGCCCAAGAACACACGTCACAGTTTCCTGAACAAATAGAAAAAAGATCCACATCAATACCCAGAAAGAAATAAAAAAGAAAGCAAAATAACTATTCACACCGAGGATGGAACGGCACGGGACTCCACCTGGGCCTCCTTTTTTTTTTGTTGTTGTTGTTCTTTGATACTTGCATATTAGAAAAAAAGTTTCCCCATCCAAAAAAGTCAAATCTGTATTTAGAGCAGCTTGTTTTTCCTTTCTTCAGGTGACAGTCTAAACATCAAGGGGTCAACAGTACTGCTGGAGTAAAGGAACTGGGGCCACCGTCTCATACCGCATCATGGAGGGGCTTAACTCACTGAGACAGGCTCCAGCAGGCTGTCCTCGCTTATCAGAATGAGAAGTCTCAGTCCCATTTACAGCTTCTTCTTGGACTCAGTGTTTTCATTGGGCCACTGGCTTTTCCTCTACCTCATAATATGGTAAGGATTTTTGGTTCCAAAAAGAAACAGGTAAGACAGTAAAAAACAAAAACAAACAAAAAAACCTTACATTCCTCCATCCCTTTACATCAACCGCCTTTTGAGATGTGAGCCCATGCAAACTTTCATCTTCTCTCCTGGTTAAAACATTTTTTTTTCCAGATTGTTTTAGGACATCCTGACCTTAAATAAGGCAGACATCAGGATCAAGGGCTGTCTTCTCACAGGGCTACTGAATGTGAAAACACAAGAAACACTCATCACTTTCTGGACGCAAAAGAATAGTCCTTCCCCTGGTCCTGGAGAGTGCATAGGGCTCTAGAGTACAGACACTCTATGATCTAGACTCATAGTAAATACAGTGGCTTATGACACATCCTTTGCTTTGAAGATTCAGTCACTCTCCATTTTCAGTTACGCCTGTCCCCAGCCTGCTCAGACACTTTGACTCACACCCACCATCCATTTCATGCTCCCCCTTTGCCCCCAGCCTTTGACAGGAGGGAGGAGTTTCCCTTCCCTTGTTTTGGACTTCCTGCAGATTCCTTACCATTTCCTGCAGAGGACAGACCTCAGAGTCTAATTGCTCAGTAGCTGTGGTGAAGAGGAATGTACATCTGACTCTCCTCAGAAGCCCCTCAGAACCAAGAAAGCCTCAAGTGCAATAACCAACCCCCAAACTCACAGACCCAGCAAAGCCCACACTAGAATATTGGTTTCTGTTTAGAATTTCAGTCCTCTGTCTTTAGTCCCTTTTCACCTTAACTCTCAATTAAAATCTTGCCATCAAAACAACAGACCCTGTTAATTAGCGTTAAGAAGTTTCCTTACAGCACCTCAGAGCTGATTAGAAGCAGTGATGGTTAGTTTCCTCAGTTTCACACAGTGGGGAAGAGAGGCCTCTCAGTGAGGGGTTTCTGAGTTCAGGGTGACCTGTGAACATGTCTATGGGGTCTTGATCGAGTTCATTGATGTGGGAAAACCCAGCCCACCATGGGCAGCACCATTCCCTAGTTTGGGGCTAACTGTAATAAAAGTAGGAAAAGCTAGCATCTCTCTCAGCTTTTGATTGTGGGTACGATGTGACCAGCTGCGTCAAGTTCCTACTGCCTGGTTTCCCCAGAAATAATGAACTGTACCCTGGAATTGGGAGCTGAGTTGCTTTTTTTCAGGGTATTTTGTCACAGCACAAAAATGAAAGTAGGGCAGAAATTGTGCCTAAAAATGGTCATTAGGGGATTTTTCTCATTTGGATCCTTTTCTTTTTCCTTCCCTGGGTCATGGAGATGATATTCATTCATTCCTTATTTTTTTTATTCTTAATTTTTTTATTTTGTGTATATGCATGTATTGCCTGTATGTAGGTAAGTGCACCCATGCTGTGCAATGCCTGTGGCAGACAGAAGAGGGCGTTGGATCTCCTAGAACTGGAGTTTTAGTTTTAGCTGCCATGTGGGTGCTGGGATTTGAACCTGGGTCTCCTGCAAGGACAGCCAGTGTTCTTAACCACTGAGCCATCCCTCTAACCCTATTTATTATTTTTATCTCATGTGTGAATGTTTTGCTTGCATGTATGAAAGTGCACCTGTGTCATGCAGTGCCCACAGAGGCCAGAAGAGGGCATCAGATTCTTTGGAATTGGAGTTGTGGATGGTTGTTAACCACCATGTGGGTGCTGGGAACCGGACCCAGGTCTTCTGGAAGAACAGCAAGTGTTCTTAACTGCTGAGCCATCTCTCTAGTCACTCACTATTTATTGAGGCTGGGTTTCATGTAGCCTCAGCTAGTCTCAAACTTACTGTGTAGCCAAGGATGACCCTTGAATTCCTGATCCTTCTGCCATCACCTCCCAAATACTGGGATGGCAGGTGTGCACCACCATAGCTGGCCTCACGGAGATTTCTAACAAACATTTTCAGTGTTCACAACCTCCATTCTCTACACTGACAGCCAACAGCTCCTGTTTCCAACAGCCCTCCTTCAGCCTCACTTCCCTGGTCCTCTCTTCAAGCCATAGAGGATCAGGACAAGCCCATGAAGCTGCTGGGTGTCCTGTGTCTAAGTGTGTTTTCCCCACTCAGCAGCTCAGCCATGTGGGCTACTTACTCCTTATACCGCCATTATTTGGATTGTAATAATGATGTATAACCAACAAAAGGATGCCCACAAGAACACGTGGTACACACCTTGGCTACACAGGCAGCACTCCTGGGCAAGGGGCCATCTTACCCACTGTTTCCTACATTAACTAAAGATTTACAGCCAGGCTTGATAGTGCATACCAGTAATCCCAGACCAGGGAGGCTAAAACAAGAAGATTGTGAGTTCCAGGTTAGTCTAGACTACACAGGGAAAACTTGTCTAAAAATAAGAAAAGGGGGGCTGGATAGATGGCTCAGCGGTTAAGAGCAGAGGACCCGGGTTCGATTCCCAGCACCCACATGGTGGCTATGAACTGTCTTTAACTCCAGTTCCAGGGGAATCCGAAGCCCTCTTCTGACTGAGGCATTGCACAACATGGGTGCACTCACACACATGCAGGCAATACACTCATACACAAATAAATAAATAAATAAATAATAAATAAATAAATAGGGGCTGGAGAGATGGCTCAGCGGTTAAGAACACTGGCTGTTTTTGCGGAAGACCCAGGTTCAAATCCCAGCACCACATGGCAGCTAACAACTATCTGTAACTCCAGTCCCAGGGGATCCAACAGCCTCTTCTGACCTCTGCGGGCATTGCACGACATGGGTACGCTTACTGACATGCAGGCAATACATGCATAAACATAAAATAAAAATGATAAATAAAATATTTTTTTAAAAAGTAAAGGCTGATGTTATTTACTTCTTAAAAGGTTGCATATATATTGAAAAATCAAGTATGTAGCATGTAAGTCATGGTAATTAATAAATGTTCCCTAATACTCCTTCTATAACTGTTACCCTCAAGTTCCAGTTAATTCTTTTTTTAAAAAAATATATTTTATTTTTATGAGTGTATTGTCTGCATCTATGTAAGTGTACCCATTAAAGAAAGAAAATAAAAATAAATAAACAATTAATTAATTAAAAAAATAAGAAAAGGGACTGGCAAGATGACTCAGCAGGTAAAGGCACTTGCTACCAAAACTGACAACCTGAGTTCAGTCCCTGGAACCCACATAGTCAAAGGAGAGAACTGACTCCTGCAAGTTGTCCTTCTGATTTCCATGTGTACGCCATGGCACTGCTGTGTCCACACATCCACACACAAACACACAAAGAATTAATAAATAAACAAACAAAAAACTTTACAGAAAAAGGATTTTTTTTTCTTATAACTCAGTCTCCATAATATGCTTGTTTTCCATGACTTTAAACAACAAATTATAGCCTGACATGGTGATACATGCTTGTAATCCCAGCACCTAGGAGGTAGAAGCAGACAGGTCAGAAGTTCAAGGCCAGATTGGGGTACAGAATGAGTTTGAGGCCAGTATGGGTTGCATGTGACCCAGTCTCAAAAAAAGGACAAATTCTAAATTCTGTTCTTCATTTACCAGAATATATATATATATATATATATATATATATATATATATATATATATTTGAGTCAGGGTCTCCCTGTAGCCCCAGCTGTCCTGGAACTCACTATATAGACCTAGGCTAGCCTTGAACTCACAGAGATCCAACTGCCTTTGCCTCCCAAGTGCTGGGATCAAAGGCATGTGTCACCATGCTCAGCACCAGGTTATATTTTTAAAACTTTTATTCATGTGTATGTGTGTGTCTGTGTGTGGGTATGTGCTCTCAGAGGCCAGGATAGATATTCTTTGGACTGGAGATATAAGCAGTTGTGAGTTACCCAATGGATACTGGAATTGAACTCTGGTTCTCTGGACGAGCCTCAAGTACTCTTTACCATTAGGCCATCTCTTTACCCCTGCCAGGTGATCTTAAATGTATCTATCTAACTTTATTTCACAGTTAAGCTGCCTATGAAATGGGTCCCTTTATTCCTTAGCAAGTGCTATGGTTTAAATGTGTCTCCCCAGAAGTTCATGTTGATAATTTAAATCTCTAGTTATATGTAGGTGGTATTTGAATATGGGGCCTTTGAGAGTCATGAGGGCAGAATCAGTATCCCCTTGATGATGCTATAAGAAGAGGAAGAGAGGGGCTGGAGAGATGGCTCAGTGGTTAAGAGCACTGGCTGCCCTTGCAGAGGACCCGGGTTCAGTTCTTAGCACCCACATGGCAGATAACAGCCATCTGTAACTCCAGTTCCAGGGGATCCAACATCTTCTGGCCTCTTCAGGTATTGCACAACACAGATGCACTTATACATAAGCAGGCAAAACACTCATACACATTTTAAAAAAATTTTTAAAGAGGAAGAGGGACCCAAGGTCCCAAGATGGAGTGTTTGCTCCATCTTGCCATGTAGTACCCCCTGTCATGTTATGCTATAGTAAGGTCCTAGCCAGGTGTGGTATT